TGGGGTGGTGGTGGGGAGACAGGACACGTTAGGGTGAACAGGGGTAGAAGGAGGTCAGAGGCCTCCCCTGAGGGCCAATATTGAAACAAAAAGACTAACCAGGGCTGTGGGAGTTACCAGCCAGGATGAAAACCAAAATATGTAATTACACCTCACCTCCACAGGCCCAGACTCTCCCAACAGAGCCTGCTGCCAAAGACAAGAAACTAATCAAAGACAATGGGGAAAGGGGTGTCTGAACATGGCATAAGCAGGCCGCACTGAAGACAGCGGAATGCCTGGGAACACCTCCGTCCACCGTGCAGACCCACCGTGCAGACCCAGCAAGCTCACTGGCCGGGCCGGGCCCCAGTTACCCAGGTTCTATTCAGCTTTGTAATACGCGAGAGCTGTGTCTTTTTTTTTTTTTTTTTTTGAGACGGAGTCTCGCTGTGTCTCCCAGGCTGGAGTGCAGTGGCGTGATCTCGGCTCACTGCAAGCTCCGCCTCCCGGGTTCACGCCATTCTCCTGCCTCAGCCTCCCGAGTAGCTGGGACTACAGGCGCCCGCCACCATGCCCGGCTAGTTTTTTGTATTTTTAGTAGAGACGGGGTTTCACCGTGTTAGCCAGGATAGTCTCGATCTCCTGACCTCGTGATCCACCCGCCTCGGCCTCCCAAAGTGCTGGGATTACAGGCTTGAGCCACCGCGCCCGGCCGAGAGCTGTGTTTTTAAGTGACGAGTGGAGCTGACTTTTTCCACACACTCTTACGTTTCTACAACCACTGGATACTTCAAGTATCGTTCTTGAAACACTGCTATTTGTTCCCATGACCAGTGAACGTCTTTGGCAGTAGACTCTCGGCCGTGTACGGTATGTCTGAATCCGAGTCCTGAGCTGTGATCTCACAGCACCACTATGAGGACCGTGACAAGCTGCGTTCTCCACTCTGGGCTGCTTCCCTGGGGTCCAGGGGCCTCCTAGAGTAGAACAGCCAGCCCATCTCTGGAAAGAACAAACCTGGGTGTACAACGGATGCAGGACCTATGTCGTGGAGCAGGGTGGGGGAACGCTGCCCCCCAAGACTGAAGGAGCAGGGATCCCCAAGGCGGCTTCCCTGAACCACCAGCTTCCTGTTCCTGCCAAGTGGCAGAGGAGTATCTGGAAGAGGCGTCCTGCTCAGAGCCCACAGGCTCCTTATTCAATGCCACAGTCACGCTGCAGAGAACCATGCACAAGCCCAGATCCAGGACACACTGCAACGCAGGCTTCCTTCCCCACCACTCAGGAAAGCCAAGTACTACAATAAAAAGGAACAAGGGCAAGTCTGCTGCTGCTCTTCACTGGGGGGTGTGTGTGTGTGTGTGTGTGTGTGTGTGTGTGTGTGTGTTTTGAGGCGGAATCTCGCTCTGTCACCCGGCTGCAGTGCAGTGGCAAGACCTTGGCTCACTGCAACCTCCGACTCCCTGGTTCAATAATTCTCCTGCCTCAGCCTCCTGAGTAGCTGAGATTACAGGCACGCACCACCACGCCCAGCTAATTTTTGTATTTTCAGTAGAGATGGGGTTTCACCATGTGGGCCAGGATGGTCTCGATCTCCTGACCTCGTGATCTGCCCACCTCGGCCTCCCAAAGTGCTGGGATTAGAGGCGTGAGCCGCCGCGCCCGGCCTGCTCTCCACTGTTAAACTGTAAGCTGCCAGACGCAGAGCAGCAGGTGAGTCTAAGTGCAGAGACAAACTGTTTAAATGTGCCATGAAAAAGACAGTGTGGCCCTACCGTATCCATCTCACATTAGGGCCTATCTACTCACATAATCTGGAAACGGGAGCACACCACACACACACACACATGTGAGAACTGACTGCATGCTAAGCTCAGGGACAGCCTGCCCCAGACACGGCCGAGCCAGCAGACGCACAGGACTGGGTACGTGAATGACGCACTAAACCATGACAATGGTATACTTTTCTGGAATTTAGAAGTTTTAGATGTTTCTTAACTTTTTTTTTTTTTTTGGAGATGGAGTCTTGCTCTGTCGCCCAAGATGGAGTACAGTGGCGCAATCTCGGCTCACTGCAACCTTGGTCTCCCAGGTTTAAGTGATTCTCGTGCCTCAACCTCCCCAGTAATTTGGATTACAGGCACACGTCACCACGCCTGGCTAACTTTTTGTATTTGCAGTAGAGACAGGGCTTCACAGTGTTGCCCAGGCTAGTCTCGAACTCCTGAGCTCAGGCAATCTGCCCACCTCAGCCTCCCAAAGTGCTGGGATTACAGGCGTGAGTCACCATATGGGCCGTCACATTCATTTTTATAAGAAATGTTGAACTTACTGTAAACACTTCATTAATTAGGAAGCAGTTGCTAATACGCTGTTGTGGTGTTATGAGACACAGACAGGCTTTCACCGGCGGTTCCTGGCTCCTAACACCCAGACCCTGCTACAGTCTTTTGTTATAATGTTGGGTGTGTCAGGCCTCAGGAACGAGAATCTCTCTCCTGCCCTCCTGTTGCCTGCTAAGGCAGAACTCAAACCTTCTCCACCTGATTGCAGGTCTGAAGACCCTCCGTAGAGAGGGTCCCGCCCTACACACTGGGAGAACGAATGCAGATACTATGAAGCTTCCTTAAAAATCCGGCCAGGCGCAGTGGCTCAAGCCTGTAATCCCAGCACTTTGGGAGGCCGAGACGGGTGGATCACGAGGTCAGGAGATCGAGACCATCCTGGCTAACACGGTGAAACCCCGTCTCTACTAAAAAATACAAAAAACTAGCCGGGCAAGGTGGCGGGCGCCTGTAGTCCCAGCTACTCAGGAGGCTGAGGCAGGAGGATGGCGTGAACCCGGAAGGCGGAGCTTGCAGTGAGCTGAGATCACGCCACTGCACTCCAGCCTGGGCGACAGAGCAAGATTACGTCTCAAAAAAAAAAAAAAAAATCCAAGAGGTGGCCGGGGTGCGGTGGCTCACGCCTGTAATCCCAGCACTTTGGGAGGCCGAGGTGGGCGGATCACAAGGTCAGGAGATCAAGACCATTCTGGCTAACACAGTGAAACCCCATCTCTACCAAAAATACAAAAAAAAAATAGCCGGGTGTGGTGGCGGGCGCCTGTAGTCCCAGCTACCCAGAAAGCTGAGGCAGGAGAAAGGCCTGAACCCTGGAGGCGGAGTGTGCAGTGAGCCGAGATCACACCACTGCACTCCAGCCTGGGCGACAGAGCAAGACATCAAAAAAAAAAAAAAAAAAAAAAAAAAAATATATATATATATATATATATATATATCTCTCCAAAAGGTATTTTTTGTAACACATGTGGAAAAAAAGAGAAAAAAATCAAAGAAAAATGAATTTTGAAGTAAAAAAATAAAACACATAAAAATCCAAGCGGTCAGCTGAGCACACGGAAGGTCCTGGAGGGCGGCCGCCCAGGGAGGGCTTGGAAACTCCACGGCCCATCCCCCACACCCTGTCCTGCGCTTGCCCTCATCTGTGTTCTTGGCAGTGTCCTTTACGGCCGTCCGCAGCCCCGGGCAGTGGTGGTCTGTCAGGAACCAGGCTGCGCAGCAGGAAGCGAGCAGCAGGCAACCAAGCGTCCCCGCTGAGCTCTGCCCATCACATCAGCAGCAGCGTTTCTGTCTGAAGGTTAGAAGGCCCAGACTCAAGCACGGTGGGGCTGGGGCAGTCTTGGGGACCGAGCCCTCGGCCTGTGGGATCTCACTCTGTCTCTAGGTAGATGGTGTCAGCCCCACATTCAGTCACAGAAGTCTTCTTCTGTGCTGACATCTGTCATGGTGTTAAGAGCGGAGAGGAAACATGGTTGGGAGTTTTCCCACACAGCTGCTAATGATTCAACTTGGACACCAATGCCTGCAACTCTTCTGTAAGCTTCTGGGTCAATTTAGTAAAAAGTATCCTGAGATTTGCAAGTCAAGCTGTTTTAAAACATTTTGCAACTACTTATCTGCATAAAGCAGAACTGTCTCAATTTACTGTTCCAAGTGAAACAAAGTAACTATAAATTAGATGCATGAAAAGCCACCAACTTCACCTGTAACACTGGCTAATTCCACTGACTTCCTCTGAGAGTAATGCGGGTGCTACTCCTGATGATGATGGTGGCATCACACACTCCACAGCACCTAACGTGTGTGCAGGCATTGATCTGTGTGTCTGACGCACTCCGACTCATTTTCACAATAGCTCCATGAGGCAGTCATTGTTATCAACCTTATTTCACATATAAAGAGAGGTAGCCGGGCAGGGAGGCTCACACCCGTTATCCCAGCACTCTGGGAGGCCAAGGTGCACAGATCATGAGGTCAGAAGTTTAAGACCAGCCTGGCCAACATGGGGAAACCCTATCTCTACTAAAAATACAAAAATTAGCCGGGCGTGGTGGCGTGTGCCTGAGACAGGAAAATCGCTTGAACCCGGGAAGCGGAGGTTGCAATGAGCCGAGATCATGCCACTGCACTCCAGCCTGGGCGACACAGCGAGACTCTGTCTCAGAAAGGGGGGGTGGGAAGAGGTCCAAGGAGGCTGAGAAATTTGCCCAAGGTTGCACAGCAACCTGGTAAAGGGCATAACCAGGACTCAAATGTACACACTGTGGATGCAGCCTGAGGAAATGCACCCTGACTTACAAAATAAACTCCCAGACATAAAGGACCACTTACTGTTTTACATCCCAGGGTTACAGGTGAGATTTTATTTGAAAAGAGGTTTCTGCTGCCAAAAATCCCTGATGTGACAGGGAAAAGGCACGAGAAGTTCACGCTGATCTAGAGTTCACTAGAGAAATCAGGCCAGTGAACAAACCTGCTCAGCACACTCCTGGATCCCTCAGCACCTGTAGAAGCTCAACAGAAGAAAGAGGACAGCTCCCTCCAAGTTGGCGAGGGGCCATGAACCCTACCCACTTCTCAGAAACAGCCATCCCCTCCCTGCTCCACCTGCAAGGTTAAATTTAGACTCTGAGGGTTGGAAAAGGAAGAAACCAGGAAATGTCCGTTAATTCTTACCTTGTTTCTCTTTTTCTTTCAGTGGGTCAGTGTTATAGACTCGGAATCCATTTTCCATCCCACACGCAAAGCATCCTAAAGCAGAAGTGTAAGACAGACATTAATCCCCAGGTCTGGAGAAACGGCAACTGCTGCGAACTCCTGCAGATGCTGAAACCACACAGGCACCACAGGTGCTAAGTCACAACTCCTTTCCTTGCAGAAATGTTACTAAGTGACAAGCACATTCATGAGGGACATTTTGTTTGTCCTTTAGCAAAGGAGTCTTGGAGTTGTTCACGCAGCTTCCCCACTGCAGGGTCCTTCTGTGGCATCCCCGTGGCCCAGGCTTGGAGGGCAATGAGTGACAAATGCAAAGGACACCTCTAGAGGAAACCCACCAAGCAGACAATCCCACCCACTGTGGACACCGGGTGAGGGGAGGGCAGGGTACTGGGAGACAAGAGGTAGTCCTAGATCCAGGAACCGGGAAGGTGAGGCAAGGATGCTCTTTCCCATTTACAGGGTGGTCTCCCGTGACTTTGTCCCACCTATAAATCATCCTCACTCCTTAAAACCCTGTCAGAGTCTCAATGAGTTACCCAGGTCACTCATCCTGGTCACTGTCTCCAAGCCACACACCAGCCACACAAGCGAACGGCACCGTTAGAAACTGAACAAAGAGGCCGGGCGCGGTGGCTCAAGCCTGTAATCCCAGCACTTTGGGAGGCCGAGACGGGCGGATCACGAGGCCAGGAGATCGAGAGACGATCCCGGCTAACACGGTGAAACCCCGTCTCTACTAAAAAATACAAAAAATTAGCCGGGCGAGGTGGCGGGCGCCTGTAGTCCCAGCTACTCGGGAGGCTGAGGCAGGAGAACAGCGTAAACCCGGGAGGCGGAGCTTGCAGTGAGCTGAGATCCGGCCACTGCACTCCAGCCTGGGTGACAGAGCAAGACTCCGTCTCAAAAAAAAAAAAAAAAAAAAAAAAAAAAAGAAACTGAACAAAGCGCTTAAGTGCGAAGATAACAGTGTGTTAATGCTTGTGTATGACCCAAGGACTGCATCCGTCTCCTGAAATGCCATGTCCAACTGTTGGCTCTACGAAGCTGTGGCGGGAAAGAGAAAAAACAAACTGCCCAATTATTTTTCACATGAAATGTCGCGAAGTCTGGTTCCTTGCAATGACTGCACAAGTGGGTGTGAAAGACCAATGCAAAGGCCTCTTAAAATTCCCATTCGAGGCCGGGCGCAGCGGCTCACGCCTGCAATCCCAGCTCAAAAAAACAAAACAAAACAGGCCGGGCGTGGCGGCTCACGCCTGTAATCCCAGCACTTTGGGAGGCCGAGGTGGGCAGATCACCTGAGGTCAGGAGTTCGAGACCACCCTGGCCAACATGGTGAAACCCACTAAAAATACAAAAATTAGCCAGGCATGGTGGCATGTGCCTGTAATCCCAGCACTTTGGGAGGCCAAGGCAGGTGGATCACCTGAGGTCAGGAGTTCGAGACCAGCCTGACCAACATGATGAAACCCCATCTCGACTAAAAATACTAAAAAATTAGCCAGTCTTGGTGGTGGGCGCCTGTAATCCCAGCTACTCGGGAGGCTGAGACAGGAGAATCGCTTGAACCTGGGAGGGGGAGGTTGCAGTGAGCTGAGATCATGCCATTGTGCTCCAACCTGGGCAACACAACAAGACTCTGTCTCAAAAAAAAATAAAAATAGAAATACCCAAACCACCTCCTAGAAATCCACAGGAAAAAGGCAAAGTCCTCAATAGAAAAATGGGCAAAAGACTTAGACATGTCACAAGAGGATATCCAAATGGTCAAGAAACACGAAGTCAGGAAAATGCAAATAAACAACACAGAGAGATTTACACAGCCACCAAAATGACCAAAAATAAGAGAAAACACCAAATGTGAGCTGGGTGTAGAGCCTTGGGAACTCTCAGACCTGCCATTTGAGGGCAAAGTGGTACAACCACTTTGGAAAACTATTTGTACTATCTACTATACTGTCAATTCTACTTCTAGGTATATAGCAGTATATGCCTTGTGGAAATGTGAACATATGCTCTCTGAAAGACATGTTCTAGAATAATCATTATTCTTACTACTCATATTATGCTTATGATAGCCAAAAACCGGAAAGTACCCAAATGTCCAACCATGGTAGAATGGATATATGAATTGTTGTATGTCTGCACAAAGGAATACTGTACATCAAGAATGATCTGGTTGACACTTTGGGAGGCCGAGACGGGCGGATCACAAGGTCAGGAGATCGAGACCATCCTGGCTAACACTGTGAAACCCCGTCTCTACTAAAAAATACAAAAAACTAGCCGGGCGAGGTGGCAGGCGCCTGTAGTCCCAGCTACTCAGGAGGCAGAGGCAGGAGAATGGCGTGAACCCGGGAGGCGGAGCTTGCAGTGAGCTGAGATCCGGCCACTGCACTCCAGGCTGGGCGACAAAGCAAGACTCTGTCTCAACAAAAAAAAAAAAAAAAAAAAAAAGAATGATCTGGTTGGGCATGGTGGCTCACATCTGTAATCCCAGCACTTTCCGCGGCCGAGGTGGGCGGATCACGGGGTCAGGAGTTCGTGACCAGCCTGGCTAACACAGTGAAACCCTGTCTCTACTCAAAATACAAAAATTAGCTGGGAACCGTGGCGGGCGCCTGTAATCCCAGCTACTTGGGAGCCTGAGGCAGGAGAATCACTTGATCCCAGGAGACGGAGGTTGCAGTGAGCAGAGATCACACCACAGCACTCCAGTCTGGGTGGGAACAAGACTCTATCTCGGAAAAGAAAAAAAAAAGATCTACAACTATACTCAACAATACAGAAGAAATAAAAATCACAAACATGATGTTGAGTAAGAAAGCTACAAACGGCCGGGCACGGTGGCTCATGCCTGTAATCCCAGCACTTTGGGAGGCTGAGGCGGGCGGATCACCTGAGGTCAGGAGTTCGGAGACCAGCCTCAACATGGAGAAACCCCATTTCTACTAAAAATACAAAATTAGCCAGGCGTGGTGGTGCATGCCTGTAATCCCAGCTACTTGGGAGGCTGAGGCAGGAGAACTGCTTGAACCTGGGAGGCAGAGTTTGCTGTGAGCCTAGATCGAGCCATTGCACTCCAGTCTCGGCAACAAGAGTGAAACTCCGTCTCAAAAAAAAAAAAGCTAGAAACAAAAAAAAGTACAAAAATAAAGTACAGAAGTAGGCAAAACTAATCTATGACGTCACAAGTCAGGTAGGGAGCATTTATTGGAATCAAGGGTGGCCAGGTATGTTCAATTTCTTAATGTTAGTGACACCTGTGTTCAGTTTGGAAAATTCATCACTTGAACACTTACGATCTATCCACCCTTCTACAGGTATAGCACACTTCAGTAAAAAGAAGGCATTACAAACACCAGATGGTTGGAAACCACCCTCTGAGGAAGCTGGGGCATCTCCCTTGCCATCTCAGCAAAACTTTCTTCCCAGAGAAACCCCAGCACACAACCCTGGGGAAGCTGGCAGCGCCCAGGAAGCCTGATTGGCCCCAGGGCATCAGAATCACTGACCAGTTCTTTTAAGTACGTGTAATCCAGCTGGGTGCGGTGGCTCACGCCTGTAATCCCAGCACTCTGGGAGGCCCAGGCGGGGGGATCATCTGAGGTCAGGAGTTGGAGACCAGCCTGGCCAACGTGGTGAAACCCCGTCTCTACTAAAAATACAAAAATTAGACGGGCATGGTGGTGGGCGCCTGTAATCCCAGCTAATCCGCAGCCTGAGGCAGGAGAATCGCTTGAACCCGGGAGGAGGTTGCAGTGAGTCCAGATCGCACCAGCCTGGGCGACAGATTAGACTCCGCCTCAAAATAAAATAAATAAATAAATAAAATTGTCTTCACAAATACGGGATCATACAGCACCTGCCTGGATTCTCTTCAAAGACAAAACTTCCAAAACCAACACGTAAAGGCTCGCAGAAGTCTGTCTCGGAATAACGGTCATTCCTTTTCTTCCCCATCATGACCTTTGGGAAGTGCGCCCTTCAAATGGGAGCGGGGGAGGCAACCATCCGAATCCAGGTCCCGCCCGCCTCCCGCGGGAACCCGACCGCGCCGCTCTGAAGCACCTGCGGGGAAGGAGGTCACCTTCCCTGGGCGCTTTAAATCATCCAGTGCTTACACCTGGATTCCGACATGGGAAAAGAAGTAGGATTTCCCTCGGGCCTCCCTTAAGTCATTTTATTCCACCAAACACGAGGAAAATCCCGGGGAGTGGGGGCGGGGAGAGTGAGTTTCCGACTGAAACTGACCGGAGAGGGGGGACCCGCACCCCACCCGCGCCACTCGCCACCAGAGGCGTCAGGGGCGCCGACTCCGCGGCTCCAGTGAACCCAAGCGGATTCGGCTCAGCCACGGGCTACCTGCTAAACACCCTGAAAGGAGCAGGGGGCAAAACGGGGTTCCGCGCAGCGCGTCAATCACGCTGCGCGGAAAATCCCGATAACCAGGGAGCCCGCAGGGAGCCAGGGGACCCGAGTGGGCGTGGCGCGCGCGGAGGGGCGGCCGCGCAGGAGGCCGGGGTTCTGCGCCGTCTCCCACCAACCTCGACCTCGGCCCGGGACCGCCGGCCGGGAGCGGCCACAACCCGGGGGTGAGCGGGGGACGAAAGGCCGGGAGGGTGGGAGCCGGTTCGGGCCTGGTCCGGACCCCGGCTGAGGCTGGGAGCGGCGGCGAGGGCCGGAGCCGGGGACTTCGGAGGGGAGCTCGGGCGGGGCTGGGGTCCCGGGTGGGAAAGCCTGGCCGGAAAGGGGCGCCCGGGAGAGGCCGGAGAGTCGGGGACCCCGGGCTGCGGGAAGGCCCGGGCAGGCAGGGAGACAGGGCCGCGCCTCGCGCCTCCTCACCGTGGTCCTGGTTGAAGCCGGCGTAGAGCAGCCCGTTGCCGTGAGGGTTACACGGCAGGAGGTTCATGGCTCCGCGATGCTGGGCCGCCGCTCCTCAGCGCCGCATGCCGCTCGCCGGGGCCGGCGGTCTGGTCCCCTCTGGCCGGCGCTGAGGCCGCCGCGGCCGGAAGTGCCGGACGTGCGTGCGTGCGTGCTGGACGTGCGTGCGTGCTGGACGTGCGTGCGTGCTGGACGTGCGTGCGTCCTGGATGTGCGTGCGTGCTGGACGTCCGTGCGTGCACGCGCGCCCCCCAGGGAGCCTATGGAGCGCCGAGCGCATCTAACCAAAGCGAGGCGAGGCAAGGCCGGGCGGGGAGGGGAGGGGAGGGGCGGGGCGGGGAGGGGAGGGCGGGGCGGGGAGGGAGGGGCGGGGAGGGGAGGGGAGGGGCGGGAGGGACGGGGCGGGCGAGGCGGGGAGGGCGGGACGGGCGAGGCGGGGAGCGGCGGGGAGAGGCGAGGCCGGAGGGACTGGGCGGGCGAGGAGGGGCGAGGCGGGCGGGGCGAGGTGGGGCGAGGCGGGCGGGGCGAGGTGGGGAGAGGCGGGCGGGGAAGGGCGGGGCGAGGAGGGGCGGGGCGGGAGGCGCGGGAGGGCGGGAGGGGAGGGGAGGGGCGGACGAGGGGGCGGGGCGGGCGGGAGGGGCGGGCGGGCGAGGAGGGGCGGGCGGGAGGTGCGGGAGGGGCGGGGAGGGGAGGGGCGGGGCGGGCGGGGCGGGACGAGGGGGGCGGGGCGGGACGGGAGGGGCGGGAGGGGCGGGGCGGGGCGGGAGGGGCGGGGCGGGGCGGGAGCATCGAGCAAGTTCGAGGGAGGGTCCGGCCTTGTCATGCGCAGGGTCGCCGTGGGACGGAGGATGGCCCCTTGAGGGCTTGGCACCGACACCTGACGGTCAGAGGAAGGAGGGAGAGCCGGTGAGGGAGGCTGACCCAAACTGAGGCCCGGTGCATCATCCCTCAGGAGAGGCAAGCGCAGAAGCGCCACAATACTAGGGCCCCCCTTCAGGACACACAGACCGCCAGGACAGAGACCTTCCCAGGACACGCAGCCCCCCCCCAGGACACACAGCCCATAGAGGACACAACCCTTAGGACCCCACCGAAAGGACAGGTAGTCCTCACACAGCACAGCCCCCGCAGGACTCCAGGCCCTCAGGTCACATTGCCCAGAAGACACAGGGGCCTCCCAGGACTCACAGCCCCCTGGGAAACACACAGCCTCCCCAGGACACAGAGCCCCCCAAGACACGCAGACCCCCAGGACACAGAGCCCCCCCAAGACACGCAGACCCCCAGGACACAGAGGCCTCCCCAGGACACAGCCCCCCAAGACACGCAGACCCCCAGGACACAGAGCCCCCCCAAGACACGCAGACCCCCAGGACACAGAGGCCTCCCCAGGACACAGAGCCCCCCAAGACACGCAGACCCCCAGGACACAGAGGCCTCCCCAGGACACAGAGCCCCCCAAGACACGCAGACCCCCAGGACACAGGACCCCCAGGACACAGAGCCCCCCAAGACACGCAGACCCCCAGGACACAGAGGCCTCCCGGGACACGCAGATCCCCAGGACACAGAGCCCCCCCAAGACACACAGACCCCCAGGACACAGAGGCCTCCCAGGACACGCAGATCCCCAGGACACAGAGCCCCCCAAGACACGCAGGACCCCCAGGACACAGGACCCCCAGGACACAGAGCCCCCCAAGACACGCAGACCCCCAGGACACAGAGGCCTCCCAGGACACAGAAGCGCCCCCAAGGACATGTGCCCCCCCCAAGGCAGAGGCCCCCTCCAGGTCACAGAGTCCCCACCCCCGGACATAGGGGCCCCCTAGGACACACAGCCCATAGAGGACACAGCCCTTTAGGACTCCACCTAAAGGACAGGTGGCCCTCACACAGCACAGCCCCCGCAGGACTCCGGGCCCTCAGGTCACGTTGCTCACAGGACGCAGTTCTCCTCCACTCTTAGGGTCAGGCTGCTGAGGGCGTCCTGGTCACGGAGCTTTGTCCCCGGGGTAGGCTCACGCAGTGGATGGCCGTGGAGGCCTGAGTGCTGACCCTCGTTTCTCCTGCCCAGGGAGTCCTCTCCACTCCCCCTCCTCACCCTCCTGTCCCCTCCTGGGCTCTCCCTGTTCCCTGCAGCACACCTGATCTCCTAGGAGGTTCTGACACTGTCTGTCATCCTCATCCCACCCTCGCCACTTGCCTGAGCTGGTGCTGACCTCTCAGCCATGGGGAGGAAGGAGCTGGACCGTAAGCTCAGATCACTGGCCCACTTGGGCCAGGCCGTCTTTGCGTCGTGGGCATCAAACACCTCGATTCCCCCACAAGAGGGGCTCCTCCCTGAGAGTGACCAGGAGCCTCGAGATGGCAGAGTGAGTTGGGCTGCCCAGGTTGTGACTAGGGCTCAGGGGCCCAGGTCCAAATCACAGAGCTGGGGCGAGACTTAAGTGCAGTCCAGGGGCCCAGCACCCTCTTCCCTGGAGGGCACTGGGTTCTCCTCCATGCACACATACTGGTACCTGCTGTGAGAAGTGTCACCATGGGGAAAGGAGAGAGGCGTGGGTAAGGGGCATTTCCCTTCATTTCCCTGCTTGCCACCCTTGGGGCCTCCTTCAGTCCACATTTTCTCAGTCTCCCGGTGGCTATACAGGCCAGGGGCGAGGGCATGTGTGGACATCCACACACAGCGCTGGTTGTATCCTAACCGGGAAACTCAAAGCAGCCTTGCCTACCACAGTGGGTTGAATGGTGGCCCTCAAAAGATGTGTCCTGGGGGGCTGAGTGGGGAGGATGGCTTGAGCCTAGGAGGTTGAGGCTGAGGCTGCACTGAACTGAGATGTGCCACTACACTCCAGGCTGGGCAATACAGCAAGACTCTGTCTAAAAACAAACAACCAACCAACCAAAGCCAAAAAAAAAGATAGGTCCACCCAGAACCTGAGAATAGGGGCTGCTTTAGATACAGAATCATTGCAGAAGTAATTAAGGATCTCAAGATAAGATCATCGTGGATTTGGGGTGTGCCTAAAGCTGAAGACTGGCACCTTTGGAAGAGACAGGAAGGGAGGAGATACAGGGGAAGGCCGCCGCTGGCAGCCAGTGGGACTGGAGTGCTCAGCCCTAAGTCAGAATCGCGGGCAGCCTCCAGGAGCTGGGAGAGGCATGAAGGGTTCTTCCCCAGAGCCTTCGAGCCTGGGAAGGAAGACAGGCTGTTGTCCAAGCCACCAGCGTCTGGGGCTCTGTTCCAGCAGCTCCAGGAATCCCGCCGTCCACTGATAGCTCAGGGGTCTCCACGTGGAAGACCTGAAGTGTGACTTGGAGTGAGGGACATGCCTCATCTTGCCCACCTGTCTGCAAGGCAGGCAGAAAGCAGTCGCACCTCTTGGGGTGGAGAGAATAGAAGTTACATACATACATTTATCTCCTGGGCTCCGGTGATCCTACCACCTCGGCCTCCTGAGTAGCTGGAACTACAGCTACACACCACCATGCCAGCTTAAGTTTTTATATTTTTAGTAGAGACAGGGTTTCATCATGTTGCCCAGGCTGGTCTTGAACTCCTAGGCAAAGGATATGTCCGCCTCAGCCTCCCAAAGTGCTGGGATTACAGGCATGAGCCGCTGTGCCTGGCTTAACGATGTATTGTTTAAAGATACAACATATTTGGACACACACAAACATATAAAGAAAACCAGGAGGATGGTGGTTTGCACAGAATTGGAGATGATGGTCACTCCTGGGGGCAAGAGAAGAATCTACAATAGGCTGGGCGCAGTGGCTCACGCCTGTAATCCCAGCACTTTGGGAGGCCAAGGTGGGCAGACTGCTTGAGGTCAGCAGTTTGAGACCAGCCTGGCCAACATGGTGAAAACCCATCTCTACTAAAAATACAAAAATTAGCTGGGCGTGGTAGCAGGCGCCTGTAGTCCCAGTTACTCAGGAGGCTGAGCCAGGAGAATCACTTGAACCTGGGAGGTAGAGGCTGCAGTGAGCTGAGCTCGCACCACTGCACTCCAGCCTGGGTGACAAGAGTGAGACTCTGTCTCAACAACAACAAAAAAAGAATCTGCAACAGGGGAAGGGCGTGTGGTTGACTCTGAAGAACAGCCCCCAACGACACCCCCATCCCCGTGCTCAGAGCTTGTGCATGTGTTGCTTTTATACATGGCAGCGGGGACTTTGCAGATGTGACTACCTTAAGGACCTTGAGATGGGGAGGTTAACCGGGATGATCCTCGAGGGTCCTCACAGGAAAGAGGGAAGGCGGTCGCTGAGAGAGACCTGGATGATCCAGGCGGGATCACGAGGGTCCTCACGGGAAAGAGGGAAGGCGGTCGCTGAGAGAGAAGGCTGTAGTGTGACCACAGGGGTAGACTGGAGGGATGCAGCCGGAAGCCCGGGAATGCCGCTGCCTAGAGGCTCAGGAGGCCAGGGATTGACTCTCCCTGGAGATTCCAGAAGGAACCGGCCCTACAGACACCTTTATTTTAGCCTCTTCCTCCAGAACTGTAAGAGAATAAATGTGTGTTCCTTTAAGTCTCTAACTTTGTGTTACTTTGTGATAGTTTGTATTAGACTGCAGAATGGCCCTCAAAGATACCAGGTTGTCATCTCTGGAACCTTTCAATGTGTTATTCCTGGCCGGGCGTGGTGACTCACGCCTGTCATCCCAGCCCTTTGGGAGGTTGAGGTGGGTGGATCATGAGGTCAGGAGTTCAAGACCATCCTGGCCAACATGGCAAAAACCTGTCTCTACTAAAAATACAAAAATGAGCCAGGTGTGGTGGCAGACAGACGCCTGTAATCCCAGCTACTTGGGAGGCTGAGGCAGGAGAATTGCTTGAACCCGGAAGGCAGAGGTTGCAGTGAGCCAAGATCGGGCCATTGCACTCCAGCCTCGGCGAGAGAGAGACTCCATCGCAAAAAAAAATTAATAAATACGTAAAGAAGGTATTCCCTTATTTTGGAAAAAGGGTCTCTGCAGATATGATAAAGTGAGAGGCCCTGAGACAGGAAGACTGTCCCGAATTGTATGGACGTCCCCAAGTGCCATCGCACACTTCTTCAGGCAGAGGAAGGATTGACCAACAGAAAATAACATGTGGGGACAGAGACGGAGACTGCAGTGATGTGGCCACAAGCCAAGGAGTGCCTGGGGCCCCCTGAAGCTGGA